CTGCGTGGGAAATGTTTTGCGAGCATTTGCCTCAAAGGTCAAGAGCATCATGAGCATCAGCCTTCAGCGGTGAGGGTCATGAGCATCAGCTGCTCCCGTTTTGGCGTGCTCATGATGCTCGCCGTTGGGTCGGGGTAACACAGGATGCTCATGATGCTCGCTGTTGGGTCGCCTTCGAAGCAATGAGGCCAACACGGGAGCAGCTGATGCTGCTCTTGCATTGCCGCGACCCAACGGCAAAAAACGCACCATGAGCATCAGCGGTGAGGGTCATGAGCATCAGCTGCTCCCGTGTTGAGATCATTGCCTCAGAGGCGGCCCAACGGCGAGCATCATGAGCATCAGCTGCCCTTGCGTTGCCGCGACCCAACGGCAAAAAAACACCATGAGCATCAGCGGTGAGGGTCATGAGCATCAGCTGCTCCCGTGTTGGCCTCATTGCCTCAGAGCCGGCCCAACGGCGAGCATCATGAGCATCAGCTGCTCCTGCGTTGCCGCGACCCAACGGCAAAAAAGCACCATGAGCATCAGCGGTGAGGGTCATGAGCATCAGCTGCTCCCGTGTTGGCCTCATTGCCTCAGAGCCGGCCCAACGGCGAGCATCATGAGCATCAGCTGCTCCTGCGTTGCCGCGACCCAACGGCAAAAAAACACCATGAGCATCAGCGGTGAGGGCTGCTCCCGTGTTGGCCTCATTGCCTCAGAGGCGGCCCAACAGCGAGCATCATGAATCATGAGCATCAGCTGCTCCTGCGTTGCCGCGACCCAACGGCAAGCATCATGCGAGAATCAGTTGCTCCCGTGTTGGCCTCATTGCCTCAGAGGCGGCCCAGCAGCGAGCAGCATGAGCATCAGCTGCTCCCGTGCTGCCCCGACCCAACGGCGAGCATCATGAGCATCAGCTGCTCCTGGGTTGCCCCGACCCAACGGCGAGCATGATGAGCATCAGCTGCTCTTGTGTTGCCCCGACCCAACGGCGAGAATCATGAGCATCAGCTGCTCCTGTGTTGCCCCGACCCAGCGGCGAGCATCATGAGCATCAGCTGCTCCCGTGTTGCCCCGACCCAACGGCGAGCATCATGAGCATCAGCTGCTCCTGCGTCGCCCCGACCCAACGACGAGAATCATGGATCCAACGGCGAGCATCATGAGCAACCTCTCTTGTGTTGCCCCGACCCAACGGCGAGCATCATGAGCATCAGCTGCTCCTGTGTTGCCCCATCATGAGCATCAGCTGCTCCTGCTTTGCCCCGACCCAACGGCGAGCATCATGAGCATCAGCTGCTCCCGTGTTGCCCCGACCCAACGGCGAGCATCATGAGCATCAGCTGCTCCTGTATTGCCCCGACCCAACAGCGAGCATCATGAGCATCAGCTGCTCCTGTGTTGCCCCGGCCCAACCGCGAGCATCATGAGCATCAGCTGCTCCTGTGCTGCCCCGACCCAACGGCGAGCATCATGAGCATCAGCTGCTCCTGTGTTGCCCCGACCCAACGGCGAGCATCATGAGCATCAGCTGCTCCTGCGTTGCCCCGACCCAACGGCGAGCATCATGAGCAGCAGCTGCTCCTGCGTTGCCCCGACCGTGCGGCGAGCATCATGAGCATCAGCTGCTCCGGTGTTGCCCCGACCCTGCGGCGAGCATCATGAGCATCAGCTGCTCCCGTGTTGCCCCGACCCAACGGCGAGCATCATGAGCATCAGCTGCTCCTGTGTTGCCCCGACCCAACGGCGAGCATCATGAGCATCAGCTGCTCCCGTGTTGCCCCGGCCCAACCGCGAGCATCATGAGCATCAGCTGCTCCTGTGCTGCCCCGACCCAACAGCGAGCATCATGAGCATCAGCTGCTCCTGTGTTGCCCCGGTCGAATATTAGAGCCCTTTCAAAATTTCTCTAACATCCCCGACCCAACGGCGAGCATCATGAGCATCAGCTGCTCCTGCGTTGCCCGACCCAACGGCGAGCATCATGAGCAGCAGCTGCTCCTGCGTTGCCCCGACCCTGCGGCGAGCATCATGAGCATCAGCTGCTCCGGTGTTGCCCCGACCCTGCGGCGAGCATCACGAGCATCAGCTGCTCCCGTGTTGCCCCGACCCAACGGCGAGCATCATGAGCATCAGCTGCTCCTGTGTTGCCCCGACCCAACGGCGAGCATCATGAGCATCAGCTGCTCCCGTGTTGCCCCGACCCAACGGCGAGCATCATGAGCATCAGCTGCTCCTGTGTTGCCCCGACCCAACGGCGAGCATCATGAGCATCAGCTGTTCCTGCGTTGTCTCGTCCCAACGGCAAGCATTGTGAGCATCAGCTGCTCCTGTGTTGCCCCGACCCGACGGCGAGCATCATGAGCATCAGCGGTGAGGGTCATGAGCATCAGCTGCTCCCGTCTTGGCCTTATTGCCTCAGAGGCGGCCCAACGACAACCACTGCACGACACGGTTTTCTTGATAGGCTACGCCTTGTTGAGCCTTTGTTGCTTGGTGCAGTTGATGCTGGCTTGGGAGACAGGTCTCCGGCGGCTCGAGTTGGCAAAAGAGTTTGCGAGTGATGCGCCGTTTGTTTGTTGAGGAGCTTGCAAGAGTTTTTCGCGGGATGGCCAATGCTCTTCGTCGCTAAATACACGATCCTACTCGAATTAAATGAAATGTTTGTCGTCAGGCCGCTCGCAAGACGCAAGACCCTCAACATCCCTCAACTGCCAGAGCTCCATAATCCAAACTTCAAGCCTTGTAAGCCTTGAGAAAGCACCGCATTGAAACATCCAACTTTCCCGCCTAACGTCCGCACCCCGGCTGCAGCCGCTGCCGCTGCCGCTGCCGCAGCCGTTGAGGCAGCAGCTGGCAGCTGCAGCGGGGGCCCTGAGGCCGAAAAGCGCAATGACTACGGTGACTACAAGTGACTACAAGTGACTACAGGTGACTACAGGTGACTACAGGTGACTGCAGGTTACTCCAGGCTAGTACAGGTTATTACAGGCGATTGCAGGTGATTGCAGGAGACCACAGGTGACCACGGGTGACTACAAGCCACTACAGGTGACCACAGTTCACCACAGGAGGCAACTACAGGTGACTGCAGTTGACTACAAGTCACTACGGGGTTTAGGAACTCGAACTTATGCTTCGAGATGTTTACACAGCTGGCGGCTCAGTGCATGCATGGGCTGAACACTTCTGAATCTGCCCGGCCGCTAAGATACAGCAAAGCACAGTTTCTTCCAAGCGGCTCTGCGACCACGGCTCTTTTCGGACTGCCGCCTGCGGCAAATTTCAAAGACTCATCAATCCCCAAAAGTTGGCTTCGAAGGGTGAGATACGTTCAAGCGTTTTCAATTGTTCTTGCTCTTTGCACGCACCCGCTTAACACTGCTAAACACCCTTCGAGATGAAGGCCTGGGGGGGGGGGGAGGGTCCGGGAAGACGAAAGGCTGATACAAGCGGAGTGTGCTAGGAGTGACGAATCCAGGATTATGCGACGAACTGCTTCAAGCACTGTCTATCATCTCATCCGAACGAACAATGCATGCAGCTTCGTATCCTCAGACCGTTAGGGTCGAGCCCGAAAGCATGGCCATGCAAAGTGCCGCCTTTACTTTTTTGGACAGCGGGGCAGCGCACACACATTCCTGCGCTGCCAGGTCAACAACTTGCCCGGGCGCCTGTCTTCTCACTGGAGGCTGCATCATCCCCTGAGCTCGAGGGTCACCCCTTGTTTGCATGGCTTCATGAGATTTCATGATCCAAGCTAAGCCGCTAAGCTTCAAGAACTTCCCCCCTTTACGACGTTATCATGCTGCGAATGTGGCCTTTTTCAGTTCTCTTGATCCTGGTTGCTCCTTCCGGAGCTCTTTTGTTTGTAATCTCTGCTTGCCGTTCTGTCTGCCATTGCACACTTTGGCCGAGCGACGCTCGGCTGCAGCAGCTTCGGCAACTTCGTGCGCCTCTCAACAGGGAGAAGGGAGGGGCTCGGAGGGGCTCGGAGGGGCCTGGGGAGGGACTCTCTCCAACGACTCTCGAAGTCGCAGGACTCGCAAAGTGTTGCCGAATCACTTCTTTCGCTCTGTCCACAAAGGCTCAATACAATCTGGCGACGTTGAGAGCTCAGCGTCAACATGCTGCGCGAAAGGCAATAAAAAGCAAGAGAGTCAAGTGCCAAGACATGTAGAAACAAGTTGTGGTAGAGAGCTGCTAAGCTGCTAAACTTTGCATCACCGGCAAGGCGGAGCTGTGGAGTTTCAATGCTGCCATCCTTCGCATTTTTTCCGGAGCCCTGCGGCTCTACGTCCACAACATCTGTTACATTTGTAAGCGGCCCCAAGACCACAATTCCTTTCTGAAGGCCTGTTTTGGAACGGCATTCGATGTCCCGCCCCCCATCTGACTCTCTCAACGGATAATATTAACCTTCACCCAGCTTTCTCTCACGACTTCTCACGAAACCCCTACTCCAAGCCGAGACGGCCACGGAAAGCCACGGAAAGCCACAGAAATCCACAGGAAGCCGAGAGCCTTGGTTGCTCCAGCGAGGCGCTCGCGCGGACCACCGCGCAGCTCCAGGAGGAGCCAGCTGAGCGGGAAGGGCCAGCGACAGTCTGAACAGCGGCTGACAGCATGTCTATGGACTCTCTACGGATGTCTGAAAAGCAACGAACACCTGTAGCCGTACTGAGGGACGACCCTGGGACCCTGACCACTTTCGAAACCCAACTCCGAGACCTCGGCGTCTCGCGCAGAGATGCATCGCAGCCCGCACTTCGGGCTGCCTGGGCAAGCCAAGGAATTCGAGTGCCCGGGGCTTGGGGCCAGATGATCCTTCAGCCTCAGCAGGCACTAAGATGCATTGTCTTCGGCTGCACAGTGAAGACTGGGCTTGGGACGTCACACACACACACACATCTACAATCTACCGCGACATCCCTGAACAGCCTTGGCTCCGTCATCTCACCAATCCGAGTCGAACCGAAGTCGCAACACGCAATCGCTGCAGGTTTGCTCTCACTCTAGCTGGTGCGCTTGCTACCCGACCATTTTGCCCCAGGCACCTCATCAAAGCCAAGCGGGGCGAAGGGCAGCAGATTCTTTGGGAGGAGGAGCGTCGTGGTGGGAACCACCTTCAAGGGTGATCAAGCTGATGCATGCTCGTGCTCTAATTATTCGGGGGAGTGCAAGCAAAAATGGCCCAGCAAATCTGCTGAAAGCCTGGCATCAACGGGCACTAATCTCACAAGCTTTCCATCGGAGGCAGAACGCCGCAGATCTCAGAGCTTGCAATGCTTTATGATGCTTTATGCCTCTTGCCTCCGGGAACAACTCCAAGTCATCCACAATCAGCTGCAACACGCAGAGGCATTTCGGCATAGTGGCCCCGAAGATCTCCTCGTGAGCGCAACATGAGGAAGCAACAGCTCTGAGAATCACAGTCTCTTCGCCTCTTCCAGATTGGTCAAGGTTGAAAGTGGCAAGTGGATGTCTGAAGGCTGTTCCGTGGGGATCCAAGCCGCACAACTTCTGAAATATTGGGCGAGCATCGACTACGGAGCGCGGGCGGTCGTGGCACAGCTCCTGGAAGAGCAGCCGAGATTCAGCCGTGACAAGAACATCATGCGAGGCCGCAGGCACGGCTGGCAGCCTGCCCATCATAGGGAATCATGGGCGACATACGCTCTGGCGTGCAAACCTGCATTCCTGAAGCCGCGTGCTGGTCGCAAAGCGCCTGTGACAAGAGACTTCCGAGGCTCCTCGTCTCCATCCCGGGTTGCGACTAAAGCAAGCTCCTTTGCTGACAGAAGAGCCGCACTTTAGGGTTGCTCCTAGCTACTCGAGTTTCAATATTTACACATAAGGTGTTGCCAAGGCCGAGAGCAGCAACTCTCCACGAATCTGATCACATTCAACAATCCAGATGACGAACATGCCAGCTCTGAGGCCTGGAAACCTAAAGTCTCAACCTCGCTTGGGAGACCTTTATATGGCCTGCGCTCCGCGCTCCGTGTTCTCGAACCTAAACCCTAAACCTTGAACTCGCAACCCCTGAACCCGAATTACTAAGCTACTGTGAACTTTAGGGGGGGATACCATGAAGGGGTGGGGGCTGGCGCATATATACCTGCGTGCCACGTCGCCCGGAGCTTGTGGATTTTGTTCCCGCGCTTGCCAATCAACCAACCACATTCCTGGCATCCATGAGATGGCATGATGGACACATGAGAACAGTCTTCGCTCGAAAGCATTCCTTGAGGTTGGCGCTGAGGCCCCCAAAACTTAGACAAAAGCTGATGCGCCGCATTGACAAGTAACCTCTGAAGGAAAAGAAAGAAAAGCCTGAAGGTGACCTGCGCTGCACTGTTGGACTACCCGCCTTGAGCATAGTTGAGACTTCTCGATCCGGCTACTCATCCCTCTCCACTGGACTCCTTCATGCGACCACAAGGACGGCTAAGTGTACCCTAAACCCTAACTGAAAAATTGACGTCGCCGAGATTGGCCTCAGCCACCACCAGCTGCCGCACAGCGACTCGGGCATTGCGGGCCTCAAGGATATCCCACAGAAGGCGGTTTGTATCAAAACTCATCAAAAGCAAGTAGGTCGGCAAAGAAAAAACAAAGGCGATTCTTTGCCTTTTCACCTCTAGCAAAACCCCAGGGCTCACGTAGAGGCTTCTCAGCACATTGCTGGAAGATAGCCATTACACAAACATGTCTAAAGAGGACGTAATTCTGGGGAAAGGTCCGGAGCAATGCGACAGATGCGAATCAAAAACACCCAGAGCCTCACGCCGCGCGATGCCAGCAAGTCCTGCGATCGGGTGCTTTGTCTGGCTTGGCACTAGTGGGTTCCAATGGACCCTGCGCTCTCAAGCAACGCCACGAACATCTACGTCGAACTTCACCACAGGGTCCGTTGCTGTGCCCATGAGCTAAGACGAGAGCTCCTTCTCCCCTCCAAAACTCCTCAAAACCTAGAGCCCAAAAATACCCAAATTCTTAAGTTGGAAAAAATAGACATTTAAAAAAAACGAACCCAGGGCCGGCTCAGCGCTTTCAGGGAGGGACGGGCCTGGGCCCAAAGGCCGGCGAGGCCCGTTCTGCCCTGACTCCTGGCTCACAGGAACCGGACACGTGTCAGTTCTTTAGTAGCCGTATGCGGTGTAGATGCGTTCGTTTGAAACGAAACTCTATGGTTCAAAAAAAGAGTGGACGACAGACACGTCAGTTGAATTCACCAGTTGACTTCCATGGTCGGCTCTGAGTGTGTTGGGGCGCGCGCGCTGTTCTTGTTTCAAGGTGAGTACTTGGGGATATTTTGATGGCGGGGCATTGGCATCCGCACTGAGCAGACGCCTGGCAAGCGTCCTGACAATTCTGCCCTTGCTGCTCTCCTGCTCGCCTACTGGCACTTCTTGGAGGTCGAAATGTCCTGGTGAGATACCATTGAAGTGTCATTGAAGTGTCATTGACATGTCATTGACATGCTTACACGGGGGGAAACCGGGGGAGGGGGGGGGGGGGAAACATCCCTGGGCAGCCGAGGGTCTCAGGGAGAGGATGCCGATCTCGGCAAATTCCACCAGCACCTCAGAGCGCAAGTGGAGATTCTCAAGGGTAGGGCCCAAACATCCACGAAAACACAAGAGGCTTCGCGGTCTTGGCTGTCTGATCATAAAACCACATGGAACCACACATGCAACACAGGACAATGTAACTATTTATATCGTAGTGAACTTTTACTGTAAATGAACGTGTATCTAGACATATATCAGGAAACTGTTTTCACACTTCTATACGTGTGTATATATCTTCTTTTCATTTGTGATTTCATATTATTGTATACGTCTAGTTCTCTTAAAAACCATATTCATAGAACTTTCGTCCCCAAAATGCCTCGTGCACGCGGGCCGCTGCCTCCACCAAGTTGGTGACCAACCTCGGTGTTGGGATGTTGAGATCCGCGGCAATCTTCATCTGATCTAGCCAGAGCTACCCCTGCCTGGCTGCCCCTGTCACAGATTGGTGCTCCTCTGTTTTACTGAAGCGTAGCCCTCTATCACATGGGACGCCTGCGGCACTCTGCGGCGGCAACTGTCTGGGTCTCATGCCCGTTGCACTTTACGCGACGCTGCGCGGCAATGCCAGCCACATTTCCAGGAGAAAGGTGGATTTCCTGGGCCGCAGAGCTTCATGTTAAAGAGAATTTCGAAGCTGAACGGTCCACGGCGGATGCATTTCGCAAGAAACTGTCGTTCTTTGTTTCCACTGCTTGGAAGCTTCGTGAACCCTGTCGGTTGAGGAGCTGCTTATCTTGGTCCTCCCCTCAACGTCCTCCTTTGGGAAGAGCTTTCAGGCTCGGAATGCAGGAGAGGGCCGGCAAAGGAAAGGCGAGGTGGCCTGGAGCGTTTGCACCAGAAACACAGAGAACTGCCGCCTGGCAGTTCTACCCCTGGGCGGTCTCAACTTCTGCAGCACGACGAAGCGAGCGCCAGCCCGTAGAGGTGCTCTGCCTGTTTCTGCACATCTTGCTCTGAGTCTCCTGCACAGCCGCTTCCACTTCCACTGGCAAATCCGGCCGTGACTTTCTTTTGCAGTCTGGAGAGGCGGCGCGACAGAGAAATGGCAGAACAGTGGGCCTGAAAGTTTGTTTAGCTCCAAACCCCTACTTCAAACCTCTTGACCTCTCCAGACAACTCAGAACGGTTTCGTTCTTGAGGCCCCGACGCAGCTCGACTCCTCGCGAAGGAGCTTGATGCGGTCCCCTCGCGCACCGATGAGGTGCCGACACGCCACTTCTGGGATCATCACCTTCCGAGATCTTCCGAGAACTTGAGAGCAGGCCACGCCGCCCTGCAAAACCCAAAACAGTCACCACAAGCCATGTCGATCTAAGTACAGCACTCGAGAAGGACATCGCAACAAGAGCGAATCACGCACATCCCCGACCCTTCCTCGAGTACACGCGCCGATGGCTCTGCAGAAGGCTGCACGGTGCCGGCCACCTTCCATCTTGCCATGCTAGTGATTCAATGTGATTCAAGACTGCTCCACAATGTTGCTCCTTTGCTTCTACATCCCAACATCATCAAACCCACAGCACTCCGAAGAAGAATTGGATGTTTGCGCTTCGGTTAGGGAACTCTCCCATGGCACATGGAAGCCTCCCGACTCGAGGCCCAGACTTTCAAATCCAAAACCCGTACAAACCCCAAGCACTCTCCGAGAAATTCCTGAACACCCCGTCCATGCCTGCCGCGGTGCAAACGCCTCACGCCGCAATTGAGGAATTCGGATGGTTTTGGGTTCAGTGTTGAAGTACCTTGCCGATGCTCAACCGCTTCGGCTGGTAGCGGGAAGCTGCCCCTAACTCTTCGGAAGCTGGATTCCAGAAACACAACACAGAAGAGCAACACAATAATCATCAAAATCCTCAGAGTGCCATGGTACCACTCTCAATCCCCCAAGCCCTGCAATTGAATGCTCCCCGAAGCTGCAAGCTCCCGACCTTCTCCAGGACGCCGGCGAGCGCTCGACGCAGCCGCGCTCCGTCGTCTGCCCAAAAGACCTCTGCGCGCCCTTCGGTGCCCTTCGGTGCCCTTCGGTGCCCTCGGTGCCCTTCGGCCCTTCGGCCCTTCGGTGCCCTTCGGTGCCCTTCGGTGCCCTTCGGTCCCTGTTGTAGGCTCCATGCTTAGATGGAGGTCGAGACCAACTTGTTCTCTACCACCAAGCCCAGGTTCATCTGCATCTGCTACAGCTCAGAAAACACCTTTCCGTACTACCCTATAAACCCTATAAACCCGATTAACCCTGTAAACCTAGAACCCTCTAAACCTAAAACCGATGATGCGACAATGCAAGGAGCCGCCAGGAACTCGTCTCTTGCACGGAACGCGGCTGGCAGCAGGGGCCCTGACGAAGCGAGCCGCTTATGGGATCTTATCGGCTGTGGTTTGGCGGGCGGGCGTTTTTGTTTTTTTTGGGGGGGGCTTCGGGCTTGCACTGCACTGTTTCAGTACTGGCTGCATGCCCGTGCGCTTAAAACGGGGCGTAGGACAAGTGAAACACGTGAGCTAGAAGCAGATGTGAGCTAAGCAGCCCCAACACGGGATGCGATGAGTCTAGGCAAGAAGCTGAAACGTGTGGCTGACACGGCCGACTGGACCATCGGCTGGACCGTGGGGTCGTCGTGGAAGTGGTGGTTGTGGAGTGACCGACGGGTGGCTCCCCCCGAGCGCTCGGCATCGCAGCGCTCACTCCCAACTGACATCATACGAATCATACGATATCACCTCACGTCCCTCTGCAAACAGGCCAACACTCTGCAATGACCAGATATGCCCCGCTCCTCTCAGTAGCTGTATGTTGGCACCACTGCCCATACGCAGCCGCTTGAGGCTCTCCTCACATGAATCGAAGGCTTCCTTGACTTGTGGCTTCATGCTGCGTTGACCTGGTCAGCCCCAGACTCTAAGAAAAGGTCCTCCCCGCGGTCGCCGAGGACCTGGACAGTCCAGCCAGGAAAGGCACAACGTCAGATGCTGGGAGCTTTTTTCAACGGGAACTTGAAACCTCAGGCTGCTTCATTGGCAGTCTGGGGGTGAAGGTGCTTTTTGCTTGTTTCGCTGGCCGCGTCGGGAACTCAACTCGAGGAGTCAGGTTCGCGATGCGTGTGATCACTCGAAAGCCCATCTTGTGGCAAAATATGCACATGTTCTATCCCAACTCAGAGCAGCGCTCGCTTAGAGGGTCCAATGGCACTAGACAAGCGCTCTGCTCATCTCTGCGCACGCAAACATGACTCACGTGACTTCTCGCCCTAGACTCCCGGGTGTTGGGATGGTTCTAGCCCGGAATTTCCAAGCTACAGCGACCCAGCCTGCCGAACCTGCCATTCGCTTCAGCAGAATCCGGCAGGGGAGATCGCTGGCGTTCATGGCGGAGGGCCATGAGTGCGGCTCTTGGGCGTTTGGGCGTTTGGGTTTTTGGGGTCTAAGTCTGAAGAGCTTGACGGTTGAGCGTGTCCGGGTAAAGGGGGGGGGGGGGGGGATTTTGGGCTTTGCCAGGGATGAAGGATGTTGTGGGATGAGGGTTTGTTGGACTGCCGGGAGCTGACTGGTCTCAGGCATCTGCTGACATGACCGTTTGAGACTGCTGGTCTCACCAGTGAGTGGTACTGCCAGGTACTGAAGCACTAGAGCGTGAACGCCGAATCTCACTTGCCTCAGCTAAGTGGATCCCACCTAAGAGTCCTCCCACGCACGAGGCGTGTGTTGCGTGTGTGGGTAGGTAGGTAGGTAGGTAGGTAGGTAGGTAGGTAGGTAGGTAGGTAGGTAGGTAGGTAGGTAGGTAGGTCGGTGTCGAAGTCCATGCGTGTGTGTGGTACGCATGCGCGCGACAGCAAGCGTCAAGCCGCAGCTGCCCCATCCTTGCCGAGGAAGTTGTAGAACGCACGCAGGACGGTATCCTGGCGCAGCGCTGGGATGTCTCCGTTGCTGAGACTCCTCCCCAGATTTCCCCTGGCTTTTGCTCATCCTGAGCTGTCAGAGGACCATGTGAATCTGGAGAATGTGAGTCCAGCAAATACGGGGGAATCTGGGACCACGTACAACATCTGGACGAACAAGGGCGCGAGAGAATTCCTCGATTATTCGGAATAGCCCCTTAATAGTATTACCAGTAGACAGAAGTGTTCTCTCTTCATCTCGTTCTCACACTACATGATTATTGGTAAGAATTGAAAAGACACGCAATAATAATAAGAAGAGGAAGAATAGTGTGCGAAGAGAAGACGTACGAAGAGAACGTAGGGGATTGGTAAGTGAAGTGAATTCATAAACAAGCGAACGTAATTCACGAGTGAACGAAGTCATAGCCTCTGTCTCTAGGAGTTAATCTGTTGAGTCGTGAGGTAACAGCCAGGATGGGAGAATGATGGTGAAAATGGCCAAATAATGAATCTTTTTAATAAGGCCCCTTTTGCGCTCATTTCGTGCCCGCATTAACGTTCATGCGTTCCTTATAACTTTCAGGCGTTCACTTATTCACTTATGAAGGGGGCAAATCTTGGAATTTGGGAATCTGGTCATCGACTCGACTCCATTCAAACTTTTTACACCTCCTAAACCCAAACCTCAAGTCTGAACTCGTAAACCCAAACCCTGCAGTATCAAGTAAGCCAGTTGCAATTTCACCCCGTTTTGGCCCTTGGCCGTAAATCCTTGAATATGAGGCTTTCTGGCTGCAAACTCTCCCTTCTTGCAGAATGGCTGTTCTGGTTGCAATTTAGCCCATCTGGTTGTAAATTCCTTATTCTCCATTACCCCCACCCCCTTCTTTTCCACCCCCCTCCCCTCCAATGCCCCCCCGCCCCCCCTTTGCACTTGGCCACTTCTTTCTTTGTCTGTTCTTGCTAAGCCACCCCGCGCCCCTCTCTTCCCTACTCCATTGTTTCTGCTGACAAGCAAAAAGAAGACGTCACCGATCAGACTTGATGCAAGTCCACCAGCTTGGCCCAATCACTGCAAAGACGACACCCTGATCAGGACTCCTCATGACCACGGCCTAACGAGACAGGCCAGTCAGAAGTGCATTGCAAATTTCTTTTCCTGTCAAAGAGACCGCCGAACGCCCCGGCGCAAGCCAGGGACCGTCGGATCGATATCGCCGACATCGCAAAGTTCGGGGGTCAGCGGCTTGAAGGTCCCTCTTTTTGGGAGAGTGGCTCTTTGTCCACGACTTTGGCACACCTCGCCCCAGGCTGCTTGGTGCAGTTGCCAACCGCCAAAAGCACACAGCCTCGGCAGCTACGAGTAGCGATGCACACGTTGCTCCGACAGGCATCATAAAACCTGCTTCAAAAGCTCTCAAGGTGTTCTTGATGCTTTCCTAATGATGGCTATGATACTATGCCACCCTCTCAGCCATCAGTGGTTGGGAGACGCTTCGCGCCGGTCTTTTGCAGAGCCAGCGTTCGAGGAGGGAAATGACCATGAGAGCTCCCCCCATGCTGAAGATGATGATGTCGCCCTAGCAAAAACAGATTGCTTTCAAGACTGCATTGGGAGAGCGGTAGTCAACAAGCACATGTGCTGGCCCGACACATCATCGACTTAGATCCCAAAGTATTGAAGAGATGTTTAGACATAGAGTTTGTCTGTCTGTGCCATGAACTCTGACTCCATGCAATGGCGCCTTCGCCTCATAACCACGCATTCCTGCGATGGTGCAAAAGCGCGATTTGCAATTTGCCGAAATCAAGCCTTCACAAGGCAATCACGGCATTCCCAATCAAACTGTCTGGACACCTGGATGGTGTCCTGGCCGACTACTCAGCCCAGCCCATGACTCTTTACATAGCATGGACACTTCACCATGCCTGCACCACGTCTCAGTCTACCACAACTCTTGAAAGCATGAAGCTTTAAGTCTACAGGTTTTGAGCTTCAATCTTGAGCGAATCGACAGCCTCCATTGCGCAGCTGTGGCGGCACGTCACAGTGAAAGGCCGCCGGGAGCTTGAAATCTGGAACCTCCGTAGCATGTTTGCTCAGACAGCAGCGCGGCAACGCGCCCCGTAGCCTCGCTTCTTTCTGTCTTCCTTCGTCATCTTCTGCTTCTTCTGATTCTGATTCTTCTTCTGTTTCTTCTGCTTCTTCTGTTCTTCTCTGCTTCTTCAGCTTCTTCTGGTTCCCCTCTCGCTCTCTCGCTCCCTCCCTCCGTGAGCATGCACACCCCCCCCCCCCAAGAGGTTGGTAGGCCCTTGTTGAATGGCAGCTTATGGGGATGATGAGTTTAAGTTGTTGAACACAATTAAGATTACATCTTTACTTTGTTACACCCAGGCCTACGAGCCTTCGAGCCTCTCCCCTTGACACAATAGAGTCCATAAAGGAGAATGTTTCTGAGGGCTTGGAGGTCATTTTGCGTGAGTTTTGTGCTGCGCTCAGGAGGGCAGGTTTGGGGCGCTGAACCCATCTCCGCAGTTTGGGGCATCGGCTCGCTCCTTCGGCCGCTCGCCCCTCCTGAGCCTGCAAACTGCGAAGTTGATCGATGCTGAATCTTCGAGGCCCCTTTTTGTGGAGATCTTCCCCTCTTGCAAGCCAAAGGGACGACCGAGTTGAAGAAGTCAAGCTCATGAATCATTCCGGTGCCTCGAAAAGGCTTGGGGTTTGGGGTAGGGTTGGATGGGATGGGGCCGTCACGCAGTCCAATCGGGCAACTCAGGATGTGGTGGAGTATTTGTCGCACTCCGCATCACGAGCGCAACGATGACTTTCAAAGCAGCAGCCCGCAGCAACTTGTCTAAGACTGGACGGCATTCTTACTAGACAGGCCTCTTCTTCACGAAATAGAATAGCCCAGGAAATCCTTCGTAAATTTGTGCCAACCTAACCGAGCTGCGAAATGTGGCTACCAACTCTACCTTCTCCGTCTCCAATGCCTCAGCAAGCCTTGGCAAACTGGAGCAAAGAGACTCTCTGGTGAACTCGGCGATTTCAGCGAACCCACATCTACGTTTGGCTTTTCGAGGCACAAGGGATCCAATGCACCGAAGTCGGCAGTCTTCTGCTTGGTAGGAAGGGTCTTGATCCAGTCGCTGAAGGCATTGCCTTAAGCAGCTTAAGCAGGGTTTTTCTACATGCCTCTCCATTTCCAAATCACTCCCAAACAGTGACGCGACTATGTTGCGGAGAACCGAACCATGACCATCTCTGCTGAATCACGAGTTATGGGCTTGGGCACTTCCTTGCCTTTGCCGAGCTTCCGATTTGCACACATGGCCTCATCCTCCCGCCCAGCCAGTCCCAAAGCACGCTGCATGGTGCGAAGGCAACCGCCTGGGCACACCACAAACTACTGTGTCGTAATCCCAACCCAAACACACCAGCCCGAATCCCCGACATGGATACTAGCTAAAAACCCACAATTCTAAACTAACAATTGTGAAGTTTTTACATTAGGGCTTCTGATATGTTGAACTGCTGGGACAAAGGCCAGGAACTTCTAACGAATCCCAGGTGGCCCAGGGGGGGGGGGGCGGGGTGGGCCCTATGCAGCCTTGGGCCTTGGGACTCAGCAAGAATCGGGAAGTCAGGTGTGCTCAGACCTGCACATCTGCAAATTGCGTTTGGATGCATTAGCCCAACATTTTGCGGACTCATTCCTTTAATTCATGTGACGCAGTCTCTCAAACATTCAGGCCGAGGCGCTGCCTGCGCTAAGGTTCCGGACTCAGCTGTGCGCCGCAGGAAGTCCTGACAGGATGAGCTCTCAGGGTTCAGGGTTCATAGTTCAGGGTCAACTGCCTGCTGCATGCGAGGTACTAGAAGGCCCAGAGCCTTGAGCCCGATCTGGCCCGCAGGGGTTGCAGACCCCGACTTCTAAATCCCCAAACCTCCTGAAGCTTCATGCCCTCAAAGACATTGGAGACTTTGCTTTCAAGACTCCAAAACTTCCCAAGAGCAACGGCTGATCTGCAACCGACTTGAAGCGTAGCAGCCCAGGCACCACATAGGCCGAACATGAACTGCTGGGGGCCACCTCTCCAAAATTGCAGGGGCTTGGTCCATTGGTGACTTCAGAACATTAGCGGATTGTAGCACTCTCTGACACCGTGCGAATTTGTGCGAGCATGGCGCAGCAACCGGTACATCACGACGGTCAGATGCATAAATCTTAGCAGAGTTCCTGCAACGGGCGCTTGCCAATAAGTAATGTTCGTGAGCTTGTTCCTTGCATTTTGCAGGTTACAAGTGGTTGCAGTGAGATGCAGTGCTCGCCCTACGAAACAAGCCTGAAGGCGAAAAGACCAAACCTTGCAACACACCTGCCATCACATCCATCCACTTGTCACGAACACAGCTTCAAACTTGGAAGCTCTCACATTCCGCACGTCACACAACAGAGCCGCAGAGAGAGCCACCCAGCAATGACTCACCCCTTAAGCAGAAAAAGGAAAGCCCTCCTACACCTGCAGAAACAAACGAAAGGCGAAAGCCTTGCCATGATACCTGCCAACTTCTTCAATTACAGAGTTTACAGAGAAAGAAAGAGCCAAAAAGGCAAAAAAAAAAAAAAAACGCTTACGGAAGCTCTCACTTCGAGGGGCCTTCTCCAGCCTCCAGCCTCGCTCCTCGGCTCTGCCATAGCCTTCGTAGCTCTCGTGGGCCTCTTCGAACTGAAGAAGAAAGAACCCGAGGAAACGAGAGGATGCGAAGAATATCAATCAAAGCAAAAGCGGGCCGACGCGTGGCCGAAACTGGGAAAACTCTGCCTCGAAGCGGCTTGGGGTGATGTACGTTCCCGTGTTGAGTCGTCTTTGTCGACACGAACCCCGATTCTTACATCCCATACATTCCCCTGATCCTACAGTAGACGCTTGGCTGCCTGCTTGAAGAAAATGGTCCAGTTGCTCTCAGGACCATGCTCCTTGATGGAGCGGTGGTGAAGCAACTCCAGTACCGCCGTTGCACCCGGCATGTAGCAGGAAATGTCCTGCAGTTTCTGGCAAGAATGAGAGAATGAGATGTTTATGGGACATTGGAAGGGTCTTTGCCAAACTCAACCGCTGTTACCCATGTCCTGAATCATATACTGGGCGAACTGGGTTGCATCGAGAGTCCCGTCGCACATGGAGAGGATGAAATGCGATGCCAACACGCAATCCGCAATGTCGGTGGCTCCGCCCCAGAGCACGGTCTCACTCAACGACGCCGAGCTGCAAACGGACAGCAGGGACGTGAGGAGGAGCTGCCCCATGGCGCGTAGCATCGCTTCCACTTCACAAAGATTCACAAAGTGTGACCCTTTCCACTACAAGGGCCTGTAGCGCAGTGGAGAAGACGCTGTGCGCTGAACAAAACCACACAAATGCAGCGGTCGTGCTCTTTCTCAAAACTGTGCGTCGACCTTGACCCACCTTCTGTTCACCTCATGGATTTCCCGATGCAAGAAAGATCAAGAAAGTACAAGTACGCGCCTGCTCCAGCAGCTCTCTCTCGGACTTGGCTAAGGCAGCCCCTACGGTCAGGGCACAGAATTGCTGTCTAACAATACCAATGAGAACCTACATAAGCTCCCAAGCTTCATCAATAGAAGCTCATCCGACCATGGACCTGGCCATAGGCCTCCTAGGGAACCAAACACACAAGCAAAAGAGAAGCAACGGAGGTGATCGCAAGTGGGGGCCAGATGCCTTCTCTCCCCAGAGGTCCCCAAAGCGCTTCTGGGCCTCGGCCCTGGGAGGCGCTGCGCCGCTCGAGGTCCGAGCGCTTCAGCGCCGCGTTCTCGCAGCGCAGCCTCCGAAGCTCCAGGAGAACTCGACAGCTTTCGGATCCCGCTCCGAGGTTCCGAGGTTCCCAAGACCTCCCGTCTTTCCCACCTCCGAGCCTAATCCGAACTCAACTCTTGCAGGTGGAAACTTCGGCCTGTTTTGTGAATTCAGCAGCGATGAGACCTGTGCGAGGGAGTCGCGTGTCAGGCAAAAGTAGCTGTTTTGTTGCATGAGATGTCACACGCACAGAGGTTTGCTTCTTGCACCGGGGGCTTAGTTTAATTCCCTGGCCAATGGGCCGAGGGTTTCTTGCCCCGTGGAACGATGTGGAACGGCCATTGGAAGCTTAGTGTTGGCAAAGGCATTCCGAACCGATCTCATTGACCCGAATGAGCTTGGGCCCAGGTTTTTCCAGAACGTTGTGGGGGAGATTCCAGACTTGCCACCTAAGCGAAAGTAAGCTGTGCTGCTCTCTTCCCAGGACATGACCCCACCCTCGCCTTTTGCTCATTGACCCTGGTTGCCGCACTCAAGGCCCGGTCGAGGTCGCGCAAGGCCTCGTCCAAGCAGCTGCATGCCGGAACATAAAATCATCCGGTCGCCCATGCTCTGGAGTATGAGCAGCTTCTGGGCAACACGTGCACGATGAGCGTGTGGTGAAAGACGAAAAAGTGTGTGACGAAGCTGTGAAGGCTCACAGGGCTCACTGAGACTCACTACCTGCTGAGGTTCGAACCGTGCCCGCCATGGCCCGCCATGTGCTCAACAACCACGTCTGTAAGATTCCCGTGTACACGCTGCTACAGACTTATTCCAGATCGTACACTCTAAGTCACAGAAAGTCACTGAATGTCACTGAATGTCACTGAAAGAATCCGACCCCCCCCTCCTCGTTTGCTCCAAGACCGCGAGATGGACCCTGTGTTCTACAATACAGCGTCCCCACCCCCACCTCACAGAAGACGGACTCGGACCAATGGCGCAAACAAGGAAGCTTTCTCAAAGATGCGAAGATCTGCTCACGTGTATCGTAGCCTCTGCTCTCTGAGTACTCCAAGCAGAGCCACACTTGCTTTGCTCTCACCTTTTCTGCCTCTGCTGGGGGCATAGTGCTTTCGCTCTCGCGAGGCTCAGCAGTATGCCTCACAGGAACCAGTTTGAACAGCCCAGCAAAAGCATCTGAGAAAAGCTCTGCTTCCGAGAGGCCTGGCGAGGGGGCCGCACCATAGGCTGGCGCACCTCCTCCCAAAGGATGGTCTTAAGTGAGTCTTCTTTAAGTCTTACGACATTTGAAGAAAACGAGTTCTGGATACCTTACCTCGGATCCGATCAGTCGCTACATATGAAACGCATGCCGCGGTACCCTAAGCCCTAAGCTCCCCCCGGCGAAGCAAACAACTTGGGTTTGGCCTCCCGCGGCTTCGCCAGGGGCAGGAGGATGACATTCCTCAGCCAGCGACGCCCGTTTCTGGGTGTCAAGGCGCTTCTATTGCATTTCTATGCCCACTGCGACTCCTGTCATGTAACCACGATTATGGAGCAATCAAGGCGGACGCTTTGACTGAATTGATGCTGTCGGCTAGCAACAGTCCCAGCTCTCCCCAAGATCACCTTGCTGCATTTGTGAGCTCATTGCGCCTTTTGAACTCGGACGTTCAGGTTCTAGAAACAACTTGTTCGCCACCTTTGGCCATGGCACATTCAGGGGCCCTTCAGGCTTACAGCAAGGTGCAGTCAGCAAGTAGACTCAGACGTAAACGTGTTGCATTCGCAGCTGCATTGGCCCAAAGCCCTATAGAACCATAGCCCCCCAAAAAACAGCAAACAAAAATTGACAGTTCACAATAACAAACCGGGAGATGCCCCATAAATTGTATAGCAGGCGTTGTTTGCTAGTTGCAACTTCTCTTTGTCCAGGCGGGCTTCTTCGACGAGGCCGGTGGAGGGGACTCGTGGTCGGTACGGGTTGGATTAAAGTAAAGCATGCTTTTTGTCGGTTGTTTGTTTGGGCGGTGGTGGTGGTGGGGGGTAACAGTTCCTTGTTCCCCACCTCGGTGTGGGGTTGTTAAATTTTAAACTCAACTCTTCTGCTCGCCCGAAACTCTCCTCGTCCGGTCGAGTCCTAGAGACCCTGGAGTGCCCAACCCCAGAGACCCTTGGAGTGCCCAACCCCAGAGACTCCCTGGAGTGCCCAACCCCAGAGACTGACTGAAATGCCCAACCCCAGACACTCCCTGGAGTGCCCCACCCCAGAGACTCCTGAGACTCCCTGCAGTGCCCAACCCCACAAACTGCCTAGAGTGCCCAACCCCAGAGACTCCCTGGAGTGCCCAGCCCCAAAGACTCCAAGGAGTGCCCAACCCCCAATTGTAAGCAAAAACTGAGAAATTTTTATCAGAATCAATATGTCTTTGTTTGAACATCTTGCTTGCGCTCTTTCCTTCTAACAAGGAGCAAGGTGGGGATGTTCGAAGAAAACATTTTTCTTGTGATTGTTGCGTTGCTTTGTTTCTGCCCTTTGCCTTGTGTTTTTTTAGCTTGTTGGCTCTCTCTGGTTTTTGTTTGTTGCAATTTGTTTTCTCTCACCGGTCTGCGATAAAAATGTTGCGCCCCCTTCTTTAGGACGAGACCGTGAAAGCCAAAAACAGTAAAGCCGACGAGACCGTGACGGCCAACAACAGTAGAAGCGGACGAGACCGTGACAGCCAAAAACAGTACAAGCGCACGAGACCGTGACAGCCAAAAACAGTAGAAGCGGACGAGACCGTGACGGCCAAAAACAATAGAAGCGGACGAGACCGTGACAGCCGAAAACAATAGAAGCGGACGAGACCGTGACAGCCAAAAGCAGTGAAAGCGGACGAGACTGTGACAGCCAAAAACAGTAGAAGCGGACGAGACCGTGACAGCCACAAACAATAGAAGCGGACGAGCGCGTGACAGCCAAAAACTGAAGAAGCTGACGAGACCGTGACGGCCAATAACAGTAGAAGCGTGAATGCCAAGAACAGTAGAAGCGGACGAGACCGTGACAGCCAAACACAATAGAAGCGGACGAGACTGTGACAGCCAAAAACAATAGAAGCGGACGAGACCGTGACAGCCAAACACAATGGAAGAGGACTAGAAGCGGACGAGATCGTGACAGCCAAAAACAATAGAAGTGGACGAGACCGTGACAGCCACAAACAATAGAAGCGGACGAGACCGGTCAGCCCGTAGAAGCGGATGAGCGCTTGACAGCCAAAAACAATAGAAGCGGACGAGACCGTGACAGCCAAAAGCAGGACAGCCAAAAAACAATGGAAGTGGACGAGACCGTGACAGCCAAAATCAATAGAAGCGGACGACAGAAGTTCTGGTACCCACTACCTAATCGGTCCCCTCTGTTTTTGACGGCGCCCCATGAGCAGAGGGGCCGACCCCCACCGCCAGCCCCAACCCTCGCATACCCCCAAACTCAACACCCGGGCTGTCAGTGCAGTTGCGAAGGATACCAAACAGGTCTCTCATTAGCCGGCACGGGTAATGCACCTGATGGACCTCCCATGGGCCTTTACCTGCTTTTTGACGCTGTTGATCTTATGGACCCCTTATGGACCTCTTTGGGACCCACATTCGATGGACTCTCTACGAACTTTTGCATGCATGTGCCTCACTCAAAACCACCCGAACAGCTGTGGACTTCCCATGCACCCTCGATCTCCTGAAACCCTGCCGCCCAATGGCCCTTTTGAACCCCCTTATCCCCCCACAATGAACCTCTTAAATGTCTTAAATGGTTCGGGGAGAACCTTCAGAGCATGGCCCCTAGTGGCCCCCGGGAAGATGTTGGAGGCGCGAGGCAGGTCGCGCAAAGTAGTAGAGACCGCCACGTGGTGAACTTCAAACAGCTCCCAAAACGCTCCCACCAGAGCCGAGATTCACGACCCCAGAGAGGACTAGGAAGACCAGGCACGAGCCGATGAGGACGCCGTTCCCTAGCAGCCAGTAGTTGACCTCCACCTGCTGAGCCCCAGGGCTTTCGGAACCAAATACACCATGCGATCGCAACATTGAGTCACCAAGAACCCAGCGGCCTTCTCTGGGTCCACAACCCACTGCACGAAGACTGGCTCGACCGGAGTAGACAAGCGGTAGACTGCTTTGGCCTGTTTGACCGCCTGCATGTACCTGGAGAATGTTTTTGGCAAGCTCTCAAGGAGAATATGGCTTCTGATGGCTTCTGATGGCTTCAGTGCACTGAGATGATCTGAGATGTCGAGGATTCTAATTAATGGCCAAGGCACTCTGGAGCAGCTCTTCGCAGCACGACGCCAGCATGAGCTTTCCTGGAAGCAACGCTGTGCCTTTTTGATCAACACCCTGGGCTGAGAAAGTCACCCAAAGACCCAAAGGAGACCCTCGCAGTGCGCTTCGGCTCCTATCCCAGGCATCATCGCACTCAAAGTCCCCGCGAGCGCTGCAGCAGTCCTGGCAACGCACAAACTGCACTCGTTTCCATTCTGCAAAGCTGACCAGGCCGACGCTCCATCGCTTCATGAACGCCACAGCTGGACCAGCTAGATTCAACTCATGCTGCAAAAAGCGCACGCGGTTCTGGGAGCGCGCCATGACACGCAACAGCCCGCGCTGGCACCTGGCCGGCGGCCCAGAACTGGATCGTGTCGGGCTTCGAGTCGTCGATGATGGGCGCGACGCAGTATCTTGAGTCACTGAGGCGGCCCAAAAGTCTTCCAAGCTTACTTTGTCAGGTTAAAGGATGCTGAAGTTGCGAAGCCCTCAGCACCTAGCAGGACCTCACAAAGATCAGCAAAAAGTGCCAGAAGTGCAAGTTGTCGCTTGCAACAGCTTGCAACGGCTTGCGGACGGGGCACACCGACCGGTCCTTGAAGCCCAGGCCTGCCCAAACAGTTCAGGCGGGGAGGGGGTTTTCGAATCAAATCGTCCATAGAACTCGGCTTTTGGGACGTTAAGCGTAGCAAAATTGTTGCCGCTTCGTGCGCGAAAACTCTGTGCTAAGCAGCAAAGGTGTGCAGGGCTAGCTTTCACGCCGAAATCTAACTCAAACCCGAAAACCGAATCATCGCGAAACATCCGGAAGAGCACTCCCAGCGCTCCTCTCCCCGCGCCCTCAGTGGCCTCTTCTCGCATCGACGCGCGCTTCCTCTGCGAAGACCAGCTTCCTAGTGGAGGGCAACATGGGGCAGCATAGGGCAGCATAGGGCAGCTTAAAAAGCTTGAAGGGCCTGTGTGAGGGTACTGGGGTGCTCTCCAAGGTGGGCTTGAGTGCTGAGCCCTGAGATCTTCGAAGCTCAGGAGTCCACAATGAGGAGATTTCGACTTCGAGGGATAAAGTGGATGAAGCCTTCCGGCTAGCCTCCAACCCCTCCAGCAACAGAAAGGGGAGCTCCCTCTTTCACTCCCCCAAACGTAAAGCACTCATCTCTCAACCCACTCAACCTCCCAGCCAAGATCAGAGCTCGTTGGTTCCAAGTGGCCCGGCGTCCAGATAGCCCGCAGCCGGTTCGGAGGGCAGCACGTTCCTCATGCACGTCACGAAAGAAGGTTGGGGTGTAGAGTCGGGGCCGCCAGCAGCTCAACATCGTTTAGCTGTTTAACCCTCAAGTCTTTGCGAGGCTTGTCAGAAGAAGGATGAGCAGAGCGCGCGCTCTGGATCATGGAGCTAATTCTGGAACTTATTCATGGATCTGCGTGCTGCCAATATGCCGCCAGCTGTGGCCTTATTGAGGAGACTGCGATACGGGATTGGTTTGGACACCAGAGATTCCACATGGTGCAAGTGTCGACACGACACGGACGCTCGCTGATGGTAAGCGTGGCCGGGGTTCAAGGTCGCCTGAAACCCTACCGAAACATGAACCCAGTGAATCGAGGGTCCCCCGAGCATAACAAAGCCGCAATGAAGCCACGGCTCACGTACGAATGGCTGGATCGGTAGAGCCAGTACTGTGAGTAGAAACCTCGGCTGCTGGAGCGGCCCTAGGCAGCCAAGGCAGCTGGCCTGTTGTGTGCGGTACAGCTGCAATCACTGAAACAGTAAATCAAAATACCGCATCCTCAGAAGTGCCAACAGCAAGTAGTGTATCACGTCGCCTCCATACCCTTGAAGCCTGTGTGCTCTTCTTGCGATAAACGCAAGCCCCGCACTTCTATTTAGCCTGACCACATTTGTCACAGGTGGTCAAGCGCCCACCGAACACAAGAAGAAGCCGCCTACAGCGGCCTTTGCGCAAGAAGGGAGCCTTCAACAGACAGATGCAACGTGCTTGGTGCCTCCAAGAAGCTCTTGTAGGCCACCAGCCCCAGGCACGAGGACACGACCACTCCGGCCATGCAAGAAAGCGGCAGTACAGTGTGCCACTCCTGGCAAACTCCAAACAGTTGCCACACCAACACCACCTTCAAACGGACCACCCCTGACCGCAACATAAAGTTCGTGCAGGAAAGCCCCCCAGTCCTGCACGCCATGCTGCGCATCGTGGCGCGCATGCCAGATGCACACGGTTAACAACGTCAGTGCGATCACCCACCTCCCGTGGTCAGAACACATTGGGGGGGAGTTGGGGAGGCTCCTCTTGGAATTCTATGTCTCAGCCCTGCCGATCACCGGCCGAGCACCATGTCTGCCAGCACAATGGTCAAAGTCCCTCAAGTCCCTCAAGCCAAGCCACACTGTCAGTGGCATGCTGTGGTACATGGACGCGAAAAGGAAGCCTTTGCAGCTTGGTGGCGATGTGAGCGGATCCAAGAGGGCTCGTGGAGGCATCACTGCAATCATTGTCTCACTTGTTGGGCTGCGGTTTTGGCTCGACACTGCGCCTCCGAGATGTTTTTGGCTCTACAGGGTGCGAACATGCAAACGCAAAGCCGCCAAACCCAAAGGCCGAAAGAATGTACCTGGAAATTTCGCTGTTGGCACGCTTTGGGTGTGGATGCTGAAGCCATCTGAAGCCCTCTAAGTCCTCCAAAGATGTTTAAAAACAAACATACAAACTCGAACCATGCTGCTCATGAGGACGCAGACCAGCCATGGCAGTGAGACAAGCACCGCGAGCTCGAAATAGCCTTGGCTTGTACAGACTTCTTTAACAAAGGAGGGGTTGCCCCTGCTCTGCAGACCTTTGAAGCCTCCTGCTACAAATCTTTGTGATGCTTTGTGTGAATGCCGGCGCATGGCCCGCTTCTTGTGAACTGGCTAGACCCTGCTGCCATGTCCGGCAAGGTGAGATGGGGTGTTACAACTTGCTGCACCGAAACTGCCCAGTACTGTGCATCAAGGCGGCTATACCGGTCCCAAGTGGCATCGTCCCAGTGTTTGTAGACTGTCCGCAACCTCTGCTTTGCAGGAACTTCGCTTCTCTGACAGCTCAGCGGTGCTCAGCGCCAAGCGGTGTCGTGCGTGGTCGGAGCTCTCTTCACTCCATGACCTACATCTATTCGAATCTATTCCATGTACTACATGGCCGTTGATCTAAATTCTAAATTGCTTTGCTGGGGGTTGGGGAAACACCCCTTCTGAATTTTCGCTGATCTTTAGGGCGGACAATTGCGGGCACCTCTGGGCCCGAACCACACTCCTGGAGTTCACTATGTCTACGGCCACAAGGGTCGAGTCCAGCTTAGGGTCGAACATTGGGAAAGGGTGGAGGGTAAGAGGTCTGAAGGGAGGTGAGCTTAGGATTCAGTTCAGGATAGAAGGGCCCAGGGAGGGCTTGAGGGGCTTGCGTGGACCACGTTAGAGTTGGAGCCTTGCAGGTATACGTCAGACTTTTGTTTACACTGCTTCTGCCGTCTCGGGTGATCTGCATAGAGACTGCTTCAACATAAGAACAAATACGGGATGAGTGATTTTGAATTTTGCTTGCGTCGGATGTTACTTGAAAAACCTTCATTGTTTCTAAGGGGCACGGGACTTTCGCAGAGTTTTTGCACCCAGAAACACAGATTTCCTGAACTGGGCCAACGTTGAGTTTTGGATCGCTCGCGGACGCTACCATGTCATGGAAATGTAGGTTGCGTAACAAGCTCCTTGCAAAGACATTTAAGATCAACACCCACATGACCACACATGTCACACATGTAAAGATCACTTGTGGCTCATCTTATCCGGAGACGTTTCACACGCCCTGCACAGGAGCCGAGCTTACAACTCACATGAGGAGTTAGCAACCCGTCGCGGCAGCATCTAACCAGGCTTCATGCCAAATTGTGCGTGCATCACCCTTGAAGTACAGAAAACCCTCTGCGCCAGGGCACCATGGCAGCTTCATTCGTGTACAGGATTGTACAGGGGCATGTCGCGGCTCCCTGCTTCTTTTGAGCCACACTGCGGCGGCACAAAACAAAGGGTTTCGAGGCAGTTACCCCCCTTGGAGCCCACGTTTGCTCCTTCAAAGAGCAATCCGCACTTTCCATGATGAACACGACGCCCGCAACTTTCACGTCGCTCGAGCGCTTCGGTCTGCTGTAAATAAGCAATCAACGTCAAGTTTCGAGACTTCGAGAATTGTAGGATCCCAACTGGGCCCTGGCACAAGGACTTCCGGATTTTTTAAAGCACTCGGATATTTAGTCGGGTGGCGAGCGGCACATGGACCCTGCAAGGAAACTACGACAAGTGACACGGTGACCTTTGCCAAGCACAGCAGCATGCAGCGGCACTGCAGCGTGCTGCTACGGGATCCGAGGGGTAAGGGCAGAAGACATGTCCTGACGCATAGTGCTGCCTGTGCTTGCACGGTTTACACTACCACACATACTCTCCATGGCCGACATCTTGGCCTGATCCTTCTTACAACGATGAAAGCCTTCAAGCACGAGAGGTGGTCTCCAAAACAAGGAGTGGTTCAGATGGATGTCTTTGTCACACAGGCGGCATACTAGTCACCAATCATTCCCAGTCTCACTATGTCATAGTAACTATGAGGTATGGGGTGAGCTGGCGGATCACTGGATGCACGCTGGCTGGAGGATGCTGAAGAAGGGTCCGGCACCAGGCAAAACGAACTAACCTTGAAGACACCTTGAACAGCTTGAGGGCGCATATCATGTTCCAGAAGGCTCAAGCACACTTGACTCAAAAGGACATGGCGGTTCATTCCACTTTGCCTAAATGCGCGCAAGAAGGCTGCAGAGTCGAGACATAGAAACTGGAAAAGACAAATCAACCTGAAGACAAGACTGGAGATGTATTGAGCTGTGTAACTTTTGCCTGGTACCAGGGACACTGCGGTAATTCTAGCCTGTGCTTTCGCAATGGATCAGGCAGGAAATCATAGGAATCCCCCGAGACGGTCAACCCTACATATGTTCAGTCTACAGTGGGCAACTCTATTGATTGGGGGATCCCCCTGCTGCAGGAAGGCCCGCGAGGCATTTCGGAGGCATAAGCCCAACAATCTTGTAAATTTACGCGATCTCGAGCATGTAGGACAATGTGAGTATATACGAACTCCAACCCTAGCCTCATGCTAGCCTGCAGTTTGGCGTGTGGCAGCTGATACATTACGATGTGTTTGCCACAGCCAGTCCTTCTGCAGACATTCTTTACTGCTTCCGCACCGATGCAACAGCAGCGGGGTTCTACCAAACGGCAATGCGAAACCCATCACTTGTGCACACGCACGGAGCCGCTTTGGACCTCACCTCGGCAGGGATGCATGTAACCAGCAGCCTTCCCGCTGGAGTGATGTTCTGTTTCTGCATGTGTTAACCAGCCTTTGTGACCTACTCCCATCCGCACACCCCTCAGGCCGCCACTTCAGATCCCCAAGCTGCCACTTGAGGGCTCCATGATGTGAAGAGGCGACTAGCTCGTCACCTGCAATCGTCACAGGTTACATGCGGTTACATGCGGTTGCCCATGCGGAATCCGAAATATGTGTTCGCGTGACTGTAGTCAGCCCATCTAAGAGGAAAGTCACAGTGTGCACGGATATCCCCCCAACCTCGGGAGTCAAAGGACAAGCGGTGGCGCATCTTGTCGTGCGGGAGGCGAACCTCATCAGGATATTGAAGGGCGGCGCAGAGCTCCTTGTTGCTCCCGAATTTTCTTTGCTTTTGGCGGATACGGCCCGGTCCACTGGGTTGCTAAAAAATGCCGTACTCGTGCTCCCAAGGCTTCCAATCAAATAGTTTCCGGATGTTCTTAACACTTTTGCGCTTGGGCCCGCTTGGGCTTGGAACAAGAGCAAAAACGCGCCTCTCCGGCAGGGGTCCAAGACTTTCCGTGGAAGTCGGCCTCCAGCACAACCACCTCAAGAAACGCACGAGTCTGGTGAGTCCTTTAGTAGGCCATGTAGGCCCGACAGCACACTGTCACAGGCTACACCGTGGTTACGCTGCACGCTTTACAAAATAACCTTCCGTGGGCAGCAGGGGGCTCGCTTGCCGCGAATGGGGCCTCATCCTCGCCTTCGGCCGACACAGCAGCGCGGAAGGTTCCTGGGAATGAAAGAGCAAAGGATAGCAAAAGCACCAAAAGTGACATTCTTTGTGACTGTGGTGCCCGCAACCTTGGGGAAACTTAGGCGGTTCTGGGCCCGGCGCCGCTGGGCAACCGCACTGCGGCCGCGGCGGCAAGGCGGCCAAAGGGGAGGCGCTCGGCAACCTCCGGTTGTTCTGGATACAGTGTTTGGGGGGGGGGGGTTTAGGGTGACGCCTGTCAGCCTCTTTCGTGATCCCACCCCCTTCCATCCCATTGCATCCCATTCCCTGTCTGCCTGCTGGCAAGGCCAACGGCCTTGCTGGGGCAGCCCACCACACTCGGCCACAGCCCCGGAGTCGGTGGCAAGCTGTCACAGGGAGGGTACAGGTAGGGTGCAAGTAGGGTGCAAGTAGGGTGCAAGTAGGGTGCAAGTAGGGTGCAAGTAGGGTGCAAGTAGGGTGCAAGTAGGGCGCTTGTGGCGCTTGTGGCGCTTGTGGCGCTTGTGGCGCTTGTGGCGCTTGCTTGGGAAAAGGCACGACTAAACCTTCAGGGCTTGCTTCGATGAGACATGAACAGTAAACCTTCCAACTGAGCCTGATGAGAAGAAACCCTTAAGCTTCATTAAGCTTCTGAAACCCCAACATCCCTCGCCAACATCCCTCCATTCAGCCCTCCAGATCAGCCGTCCCCCAGGGCGTGCCAGCAGCCCGTTGGGCGTCCATGAAGCGCCGAGCACCGAGCCCAGAGTTTGAAGCCCTGGCAGGGAAGAAAGTCTCCTAGAGAATCTTTTGAGTCCGGTACATGGTGCGAGGAGAAACAGAAAGAGTAGGAGGCTCGAAGTCTTTTGGGCCCTGGCCGCCTCACAAGCGATGCAACTCACGAGCCTTCGAGGATGAACTTGCTGTGAATCTTGGTGGAAAGTTTCAAGGAAACCTGCTGACAGGCTTCAACAAGCGGGTTGTCCAGCACTCTGTTGGAGACAAGGCGCATGTGTGTACATGTCATGCTTTACCCAGCCAACACTGAAAAAAGTAGTAGATCTAGAGGTGATGTGAAGTTGATGTCAAATAATTGAAATTCGAGACCTGCTTACACAAACTCGGTGACCGCCACGCAAGCTAAATCCTAGGACCCTCAAAAGGCCCCAAGGATTGGTGCTTATCAGGTGGTCATGAAGTTCAATCATGCAAAACAAAGAAAGATTTACGCAAGCAAAGAGGGTGGAAGTGAGGAGAATGTCAAGAATTGGTCCATATCGAGCTCTGCTAACCCCTTTCGGGCCCCGTTTAAGGCCCAGCTTTCGTTCAAGTTTCATGCTCCAATTCCTGGACGACAAGTCCGCAGCATGCCTCCTTGGGCAGGTGGATCCAGGCCCCGTGGCCTGGCGCTGGAATGCTGGATTTCACGGCATATGTAATGCAGTGTCCCAAGAACTTTTCAGGGCTGGGGCATTAGAAGTCTGGTCGACTGTTCAAGCCATCGCCCGGAAGTGGCCTTCGTGCGCAAGAGGCTGCAGCAAATCCTGCAGGAGTTACAAAGTTCACACGGCGACGACATCCCTCAAACTCATCTAAACTCTTCAACTCTCTGGCCCAAAGCGCACCTCCGCATAGGCAAGCACGTCAGAACTATGGAGGCCTTAAACGATCTCCACGGAGGCGAATGCTGATTTGGGAGTGAGGCTCTCGTCGGTACGAAAGGCTCGATGCGCCTGTACTTCATGGCATTGAGGCGGTCTCTTCTTCGACGATTCGACGATTTGTATGTTGGTCACTGGAAACTGTCTGAGCAGGGCGGAAACACACACAGTGTTGGTGACTTTTTGACTGACCCTGCGTCCAAGCTTGCTTTTGGCATCTCAAACTCACCTGGCCGTAGCTTGGGGTCCGCACCAGCCAAAGCCTGGGATGACACCTTCAGGACAAAGGCAGCTTCAGGATGTGCTAACAGGATTTCAAGGGCTTTGTCTTGCATAAGTTCACTCTCCAGCTCTCCTGCCACATGAAACTGAAGGAGTCAGTACACCATAGGCCCTAGCAGACGTTCGAATAAACGTTGCCTTCTGCTTCTTGATATCTGTTGAGATTCTGGATGCGACACACCAGCCCGCAACTCGGAGGTCCCTAAACACATTGAGCCTCCTCGTGCTCCAGAGCCTGGAACAAAGGTAAACCGGTAACAGGACGGGGGGGTCTGCACACATGTTCACGAGATTCACGCGCGTGTCTCAGAAACTCAGAAAACGGAGCTTGCAGATCGAGAGTTGTACGAGTAGGGCATTGCAGGGCGTTGCAGGGCGTTGCAGGGCGTTGTAGGGCATTGGGCATGTCAAGGCTCGCCCGAACCTCGGCCAAGGATCCCAGAGAGGCGGCAAGGCGCTCGGCCACGGCAGTGACCTCTCCAAGGACAATCGCACGTGCACGCGGAGTGCACGCAGGAAACATGATGCAGAGATGCTTCTTGGGCCTGCTTTCTTGCAGCATCCAGGTGCACATATCCCCCTTAAATCCCCTGTGCTCGGGTTGATGGCATGCTGTCCTCCTTTGCACCCTTTACACCCCAATTGGCCTTCTCCTCCTGCCGCAGAAGGTACGGTTGGTCCTGCCGCCAGAGGGGAAGGGAACATAGAGCACGACTCGAAAAATGAGCAAACGCAGGACAAGAAGCGGCGTGTGCTTCCGCTTGTCTCAAGTTTAGTTCACGTGGTTACTTCTCCTCATTTGTAATCCAACCAAAGCTTGAGCAAAAAAGCCCCTGAGACCCTGTCTGCAAGCAAAAGCAACGAGCGGAGTGCTGGACGAGAAAAAACACAATAACATGAAAGAGAGTGCCTAAACTCGTGGATCTCTGAGTCGCCACAAGCAGGGGCCGTATGGGGCCGTATGGGGCCGTCTCCCGTTTGACGGTTTCGTTACTCTCACTCGGGGGCTGCTTGCAAAACTCGAAGTCAGGGTCTTGTTCGCTCAGTTTGCCCAGCCGCGATGCAGGATTCGAGCGATGCGAAGTGCACAAAAAAACCCCCCTCTTGGGTCCATCAGCCGACGATCTGAGCCGCCAGTGTGGGCCCACTCGTTGCCTTGCATCGAACACCAAAGCTGGGCCATAGCAGCCTGAGAAACCAACATCTGAAAAAACAGTCCAAACGCCAAAAAGCAACTCGGAAACGCCAAAACCAACTCGGAAACTTAGAATTTAGGTATCCCGCCCGTATGGTACCTCGGCACCTGGACAATCTGAAATTTGGGAGGCCGTGTGGCATCACAAGCTCGGCCCCCGCACGCGTGCCGTTTCGAGTCCAGGGCGTGACCCACGGCTGCATGTGGGAGGGCCAGCGCCTGTCATGCATCTTCAGGGAAGCGAATATGAATGTGATGCGACGACGGTCTTGCTGGGGTTCACAGTTCTAACAGCGTTCGGCTTTAGATGCCACAAAGCAGAGTTCGTTCAAGTATCTTCCAGGCTTGGAGTATGGACGTTCCACGCTTCGTGTGGTGAGGGCCTCCAAGTTTGGGAAGTTGTTGGGGGCAACTCCCTTCCTCAGGTTCCAGCTAGTCATCGCAGTTTTGGAACTGGGTGCCCAACATCACGCGCCCCTCTTGCTTCAGCAGCTGCCGTTCGCCATGCACCTGCACTGGCGGCAGGAGCTTCACTGAATGTTTCAAGAAGCCCGGACCCTGGGATCCAGGGTTTAAACCGGCATTCTAAAATCCGTTCAGGCTGTGGTGAAGAATTCGGCACATACGAGAAAGTTGCGACGCGTCTCATCGGATGTGCTGGAAACTTCTTCGAAACCCGCAACTGCTCACTCGGCGAACCCGGGGGGGATGGGGATTTTCCATTAAATGGAAGACGCAACCCCTGCCTTGATCCTAAGCAAACACGCACTTTAGGGAAGACTGTGGCCAAAGACGCGCGGAGAATCAGAAACCCTGCTTCGGTGGCTCGTGTCCGAAACCGAGGCCTGGTCGAAGACGCGGCCGAACATGATGAAGATCCACAGGCCTCGGTGCTCGTGCCCGGAGGGGACCAACAACTGCGGCCTCTGAGCAGCTTGTGATGACATCATCCGCGTAAGGTGGTGCAGTACACACACAAAACCCATAAAACACGAGGCGACGCCGTCCAAGGCTAGTTGATCAGGTCTCCCAAAATTTTCCAAGGGGTTCAGGGCCCCACTGATGTTGGTGAGGATGGCCCCACGGAAGAGCTTCCACGGGTAGAGCATGGGACCGGCCTCAGAGTTTGGGTTGAAAGAAGACCACGCTCAGAACGGTGCTACCCACATCTTCATGGGTATAGTGTGGTTCAGGACGCAGGACACAGAGTTCTATCCCTGAGCTGTGTTTCACGAAGATGTTTTACAGCACTAAACCTCCAACAGGCAGCGAGGTCTGGCGTCTCACTACCCACATCTCCCCCCAACGTCCGTCCCTTCGTGCCTCGCGGGCCTTCTTTTGGGGCACAGCGGCACCCTTGCCACCCTTGGCTGCCTTCATCTCCTGGCACCGAATGAGGTCTGTATGTCATACTAGTATGATTAGTAGCAGCGACTAGCGTACGGGCATGCTCACCGTGATTCACTCCATGAATCAACTGCTTGGCCTTCCAAGAAACCCATAACCGAACATGATGTGCAAGCGCGTCTAGAGGATGTCCAAGCTTTTCTGCCAACGTCTAGCCCTACCAAATCCAAACCTCCGTGCCGCGGTCTGCCTGTTGAAGGCAAACATTTCCAGGTTCGAGCTGCTTTGGCGGAGCCACGATGTAGACTGTGCTGGCAAACCTCGGCAGCTGGATGCCAAACTTCGTCGCCACCCATGACAGAAGCTTTCCAACGCTTCAACAAAGTGCGTGCGTGCACGTGCACAGGCACATGTCTTGCAGGATCTACGGCGCTTTCTGCTGACTGTGCTAAGGCCACAACGCACGAGGGAGCCACCTTCCAGCCCAGACGTCTGAAAAGTCTGTAAAGTACTGAATCTTCGGCTGCTTTGTTCCGACTGCAAGAGGAGTCCATGAGAGCATCACAATTCGACTATGTCCTACACAACTCCAACTGAAAAGACACATCCCTCATATCATCTCATATCATCTCATATCCTTCTTTGCTCACCGTCCCCATTCAGGCTGCCAAGGGTGAATGTCAGACACCCATAATTTCGGGATGTGGACAAAGTTGTTCCTAAGCCGGGAGCACAATCAAGCAAGGGCTGAGGGTGACGCCACTCACCCGGCGTCCATGGCTTGCCGGCAACCTCAGGTGGATCTGCCTGGCCACGGGGCTCAGGGAGGGTTGCTGCCCTCAGGGCATCATCGACTGGGCTCTTGGTGGTGGACTGGGGTTTCGATGGGGCTTCAATCATGTCAAAGTGATATCAAGTTGCAGCAGCTTGCAACAGCTTGCAACAGCCTCATCTTGCCATGCACCCGCAGCTCTTTTGCCAGCTAGATTGCTACTGCATGGCATGGCCTGCGGATGCGGCATTGCCAGCTCGAACAACCTGCACAAGGGACTTGCAGATCAACGCACAAAGCCGCAGCACCGGAGAAACAGGACGACTGTGACAAGGGCGGAGCACAAGGAAGCAGGTTGAAGGAGATTTAGTAACCTCACATTGCTTGCCTGCATTCTTCGGGAGGGCGGGGCCCGGCAGAGCAGACGCGGCGCGGATGCGTCAGGGCGGGTTATAATTCGAAAGCCGCGGCCCACAAACTCAGTGGAGCCTTACAAGCTGTATGCCTGCAAGCCACTCCCCGCCCTCGCCACGCACTCGCCACTCGCCAGTGTGCCTCAGAGCCCAGACGAAATGGATGATGTAGGCCACCCAAGCCAGGACGTAGATGAGAGCGATCCAGCCTCAAAGCTCGAAAGCAGGATTTTGCACTATCCACCATATGAGATGAGGGAGTCAACAGGAGTCCCGGCCATCGTTGGGCACCAGCACCGAATAGTCGAGGCTCATGGCAGCCACCAGAATCATCTGGAGAGGTGCAGGGTGAGAGATTCTGAGATCTGATCTTATCTGATGGTCTTCAGAGCAGTCTAAGACAGATGCGGGCGTGAAGGGCACGACATTCTCTATGGGAAGCTGCGCCAGGAACTTGCTGTCCGACTCCTGGATCAAAGGGGAGCACAGGCCTACTAAATTGTACTCACAAACTGGGAACATGAACTCCTTGAAACTCCTTGAAACTCCTTGAAACCCATTCCCGAAAGATGGGGTCCTCCTGGATGTCCAGCTTGAGCATACACCAATGCGCCACACAGAAGACCAAGCTCCCACTCCAGGCGGGCCACAACTTAGAGTTCAGCATGGGCCAAGAAGAATGCTTACCGGAGGAAAGAGGGAGCTGCGTAGCAAGCCCTGCTTTGCCACCTACACCTTGACCGACACTGACGCACCGTGAATTGCGAAGCCAAACGAACTCCAGGGCGACTTGAGTTCAAGGTTCGGGTTTGCCATTCTCAAAAGGTGCATGCCGGTGTATGCATGGTCCACTTGACAGATCTCCTCTGAAACAAAGCCCAAAGAAACCTGGACCAACATCCGAAAAGACATGCAAAACGAAAAAGAAACCCTCCTCACGTTAACACTCAGATTGACATGTCAGACGGATGTGTCAAGCTAATAAGGATCCCCCACAGCTTCCCTCCCTCACTTTCCCTCTTAGTTTCCCACCGCACGGAGCTCGCCAAAGCAGTGGCACTGAGTGTAGATCGAGGCCTTTGGGAATCCACTCAGAGGTGCGAGGACTTGAGGGTTTCGGAATTCTTTCCACGTTGCAACGAGCTCAAGGTATGCCTGGCTCGTCTAGAGATAAATTATCTGTTCCACACACCACACTACACCACACTACACCACACTACACCACACTACACCACACTACACCACACTACACCACGCTACACCACGCTAAATCACACTAAATCACACTATACTAAACCACAGTACTCTACACTACACTACACGACACGACACTACACTACACAGAAGCTCGCTCTTTTTTCCGGTCCAATTAACAGGCCGGACCCTGCGAACACTCCACCATGTCATCTTACAACCACATTAAGGTAGCAACGTAGATATGGAGCCTTGCACCCAACATCATGCTATCACACCACATCACAGGAAGTCTTGGCGCACTGGCGGCAGTAATCCAGTGTGTGAAGAAGTACAGGATGCCAATGCGGGCGTAGCAGTCATGCACTGCCCACTCCTGCCGAGAAGTTCAAGCAGCTCAAGGTTTGGAAAGGATTGGCTCAACGAGGACTTGTGTCTCACAAACCTCTCATAGCTACAGCGAACCATAACCCTTCTATCAGCGCTCCCCATGTCTCCCCGATAACGGCGAACTTCCAAACAACCTGTCACAAACTGTGAGAACTGGATTGACGTTTGCACTTGTGGACCCTCCCTTTGTAGCCATCGGAGCGTGAGGACAGTCCTGCTGCAGGCCGCGGTACAACTCGAAGTGCTCGGGGTTCGCACCTCTGATCGTACGTCACATCATCTCGCAAAGATCAAACGAAAAGAATACAGGTGTCATTCTGCAACAAAAAGAGATTCTAAGATTCCACAACCTACCTCATTACTCTGGTGCTAGGTCCACCAACTGCTTGTCGGTAAATCGGTTAGAAGCATCTTTCTGCATCAGTTCGCAACATGAATCTCCGATGTGTCCCTGTCCGTTGAATTCCAGGGTCCGTGCCCCGTGTCGCTGCAGGTGCTGCGCCTTTGGAGGTGTGGAGCTCCTGAGTTGAAGATGCAGCGCCGCTTGCTGTCACTTGCACATTCGTGAGGCACTTTGGTACAGCTCTTTTCTTTTTGAACATGTTGAGAGATGATCCGCAGGGACCAACGAAATCTGATACGAGATCTCCCGCCTCCTACCTTCACCTCTAGAAGCTCCAGAAATCTCCAGAAGCTTCAGAAGCTCCTTGGCCTCGTCTTGATACCACTTCGGCATCCTGGCTCACTTCTTAACTTTTGGCTCCCCGACATTGAGCTGCCGTGGGAAGAACTGGCAACGAGACTCGCAAAACTCACAACTCCCATCTCTGGGCATGGTCTTCGCAAAGGAGTCCTGCGCTGGGTGCCGGTCTTGGATTGCGGAGCCGCGGTGCTCTTCTTGGCCTGAAAGTACGGATCTGGAGCTGACTTTACGCGCTTTGCAACTACACCCCTGAATCCCCAAACATAGACCCCACAGCCCCAAAGCCCAGAGTATCCCAGAGTGGTCTCTCAGCGACGGACCGGGTCCTCATCGTCCTCCTGCATATATGCATGGGGCAGAAAGGGCCGAGGGACACAAACTATGCCGATGCCCTCCCCATCGTGCCTTGGGCGCAGGCACCACAAAGGGAACGCGGAGAACGTCTGTCACGCGCTGCTTCTCAAACCTCAATTGCATCGGACCCTTCTTGGTTGGCAGCTTGGGTTCCGTGGCCCGAATCAAAGAATATACGTGCACACGCGGCAGCTTGCTGGCTTTATTTGCGGGAATTGCCATGCGATGGGGAAGATCATGCCACGATGACATGGGTTCTAGGTCCTCTCATGTCCTCCCTTGATCTCAGGCTTTTTCGAGGACTGGCAGCCCTTCGACATCCTCACGCAAAATACAAGCAAACCAGCTTTGAATAGCCCCCTGCATCACCTACTTCTGAGAAGAAAAGACGCCGAATCCAAATCTCATCGTCCTGCACAATTTCGAACCGCCTGGACGACCACTCCCTCGACAGCGAAAAAAAGTTGCTTCTCGCCAAGTAGCATATTTCCTGTGCGTCGTGCCTTGCCGCTGAGTCTTAAAGATTGGAGGTAGAAGTCAACATTAAGTACTTAGGAGGATTCGAGTTGTGTGGATCGCGAGAGCAAGCCACCGTCTGAAGTTCAAGTTCCAGCTCTCCACGAGTACAAACCAACGGTCAGCTTCACTGGCCAGCCGTGAAGCATTCTTGCCAACCCCGAACATGCCCACATTCCAGACAAAGCAAAAGCAGAGAGGCACAGAGGCACAGAGCTCAAGACAGCCAGCGAACCCAAGAAACTCGAAAACCCAGCTATCCCAGTTGCCCACATGTCTGACTGTGCTTCTTGGCCCCGCAGCCTTGTCCAGCTGCTTGGGGGTCGGGATGGGCAGACGTACCTGCTGATGCTTTCAGGCTTCGGGCTTGAGATTCCGTAAACTTCGCTACGAACACGCGGATGCTTTGGGAACGATTCCAGCGCTTCTTGAGTGAACACTGTCCAGCCGTCCAGCCGCTGAGGACGCCACACTGCGTGTAAGCATGTGGGCCATACCAGCAGTGGCACGAGCGGAGGCCTCAGGCACTTGTGTTTCAGGTAATTCTGTTTACTGCCCAGGAAGATCCAAGCCTGAAGAGAAAGACCCCATCCTTCATGAAAGCATTTCCGTCTCCTAGACATTTCACTCCCATCGGACAAGCAATTGTAGAGCCTTGAGGACTCCTTAAAATGTTGCATGGCATGCTTTCGACGGTCACGGTCCTTCTTCAAAACTGGCCCCCGTCTTAGCACCTGAGAGTACATCGGGCCTGCACCTGCAACAAAAGCGTCAGAGTATATGTCAGGCGCAGCTTGGCTTGCCACCATATTCCGGGAGCATTACGACTAACATCCCGCCGCCGGCCAACGGCGAGCGCCATGAGCCATGGGCCACGGGGTGAGCATCACGAGCAGCGCATGCACAGAGCAGCATGATGTAAGTGCCCTGGGCTGCTACAACCCACAATTCCCCAAAGCTTTGTGCTCTGTGATCAAACCTCCACGCACCAGCTTGGATGCCGCGTAGCACGGCCTCCATCGCATCCGAGGCTGGCACGTGCAGAGTAAACCAAATGAGGACGCAAAGGAACATCAGAGCCTCGTGGGCACAGCCACAGGAAAGGCAACTTCGATGTAGATAATGTAGATACAACGTTGCTGATCGTGAAAGGCTTTGGGGCTGCCGAGGCCTTAGAAGTACTTGGCAAGTGATGATCTGCTCATGTCGCGTATGGCAGATTTCTGCGGTTCTCCGGAACTCTCTACAAAACTCAATACTCATGACTGAGTACTACAAACTGGATCCTGCATGTAAGTCTGTGGGTCGTGCGCTCCAAGCTGCTTTTTTGCTACGTCTCCGGTGTGCAAATCTCCTCTCCGCTTCCGAGGCCCCCCACGCTTGTGGAGCAGACCCAGTAGATCCCTCAGAGAGAAACCAAATGGGCTCTGAAGGTACAACAGTACTTCTCAATCTTCCGAATCACTTCTTAAAGTGCAACCTACTGGAGTTGCTGCGCAATTGATTGTCCCATCCAACACAGCACGGAGTTCTAGTACTGCGCCACTGGAACGAAGTCTCGGCAGACTATTGGCTACATGAACCCTAAAGGGCATGAAGCTTTTTGAGAGAGGGGCAAAGTCACAAAATACAAGCGATGTGCCTAAAGCTTGAGTTGTGGATGCCCTTGTCGCACGTGGAGGCTATTTATTTGAGCTGATTCATGCGGATTCGTGATCCACGAGCAGACACCACACGAACATTTCTGGGGTGACGGCCCATGATGTACCCAGGAGGTGACGGCCCATGGACGCCGAGACCTTCGAGTCTCGAATTTCGCAATGTCAAATATTCTGGTGAGACCGCACGGGTCTGACGACCACCTACAAACAAAAGCAGCTCTCGAATTCTTCGCCATGTTCGGGCTCCTGACGTCCAGCCATGATCAGCTGGAAATTCAAGACGAAAAAGATCACCCCGATTACGTGGTATGTATCCTCGGTTTGCGACCAGAGAAGCCTATAGAGCACGCACGTCGATCTTCGCCACTTGACTGATCTTGTTGCTGTGTCTTCTAGTCCAAACAGTTCCAAAGCTCCAACTACTACCACATGCTGCTACCATATTTCTGTGCGTACTCCCCCTAAGCTGTACTCCTAAGCTGTGCACCATCTTGGTCACGGTCAAGCCAGTGAGGTCTCGAATGTCTTGTCGGTACTGCGCTGCCTGGATTCCGAGAGTCTCTGAAACCTTCCCATCTTGCACCCCTCCTCATACATCAGCGAATTATCACAATATCATTTTGTACTGGTAGTAGATCTGCCAGCTCTGAAGTTCTGAATGTGACCGTGCACTTCCTTCCCGAGCTTGTGCAAACCTGAACTCAGCAATCTAACGGTTCATGGCTGTTCACACAAGTTTGGGCTATCGCAGCCATCACGGGCTGCAGTCTGAAGGGTAACCGAGTCAGGCGAAGAAGAATATACCGTTTTTTGCCGTATACCTCCCCAGCATATCCTACCCCCTCCCGCTCACCGTTGGTCCTCCCCTCTCGTCCCTCTGGCCTGCGCCATGGCGAAATTGTACCCTGACGTGTACCTGGAGAATCGAAGGCCAGAGTCGAAGAGGTAGTTGGCTCGGTTGTACCTTGGAGGAACTTGAAAAACCGTCGAATTCCATCTTTTGCTTTCCACTTCATCGACTTGGTCACAGCTGGCCGAAGACCGACAAGCACAAGGGATTCCTGCTCAACAAGGCACGTAAATGCACCGGCGGCTGCAGCACTTGCTGCCGCCGAAGCCTTAGCGTGTCGAGCAGAACGCATCCAGAAATCCCCATCAACCCGAACACACTGAGCCAATCGGCAGCTGCGCCCGTCGCGAGAACGGGCATGGCGGCCTTGGCCAAGGCTGAAAGTGCAACAGAAGAGATGCCAAGGTTCTGCTGGGAAGTTCTTGGTATTTGGGTGCTTGGGCCCCGAAGACAAACTTCAAGCCGCCCTCCGGAGAAACAAAGGGAGCTCGATGCTTGGACGCCGGCCTAAGACTTTGGAAGGCTGCGCAACACCTGGCACACAAGCGAAGCACACCAAGAACAGCTGCTTGTCATCAACACAAATGCAATGTGGGTCTGGCCATTTCCAACATAGTGCTCTCTCAGTTCACATGAGGAAAGCTTACTTGCAAATACAGCACGATTGCTTTCAAAGAGAAATGCACCTGAACCAACCTGGCATCTTTGAAACACATTGCCGTATTGTCTCTGTCCCAAGCCCTGCAGCCATTGCTGCTATGTTGTGCTGTCCAGCATCCGGCTGGTCGCATGAGCACACACTTGTTCCCATAATTGTCTGACTGTAGAAGCAAATCAAGCACAAGCCAAGCATACAAACGTGTCACTGTGACAGTGAAGCGCAATTGGCGATTTGAACAACCCTTCGACAAACGACCCAACCAATGCTCCTTCACACAGCATAAATATGGAGGTCAGTTTTTGCTTCACCTTCACACACAACGACGCACAGTTAAAATTAGGCTGGAGATTCTTCGAAAGAAATCAAGATTCTTAACCCTCAAACCCAACAAACTCTTGCGCACCTCCTCTCCGGGCTAGGCCCAAGACGGGCACGGCCTGCTCCCTTGGAAGCGTCCGGTGCGGACGCTGAGAGCCAAGAGCCAGCACGCCGTTGGCAAAATTCAAAGTCTCGGGGCTAAAGGGCCAAAAGTTGGTGGTTTACAGTTGTCAACGTTTCTGGAAGGCTTTTTGGGTTTATCGACCTACTAACCTATGAGGTCCGCATATGAAGCAGTCCTTTGCGACTGTGTAGGATGCAGTTCAAGTCGTTTCTTCTACGAACACGGCACTGGGCAGTCACTGCAACGTCATGCTGGGAAGAACTCTACTACTCGTGCCGGACGCATATCACTCGTACTCATGCGAGCTGCTTCCAATACTCCTCACCCCGATGCTGAAAACTCCACGTTTGTTTGTCGTGCTCTCCTAGCGAAGGCACGAAGCAGCAAGTAGTTGTACCACTTGCTTTCCCTGTTGCTGTTAGGCTCTCCAAGGTCTTGAGCATGCACTTTTTAGCACATGTATAGCTTCTATCTATAGGTACCTAGCCCTGCAGATGCAGCAGTTGCATAGGCATCAAGTCTTCAGGACATTCTTTTGCTGCGTGTAAAAACTCCGCGTTTGTGTGAGCCATGGCAGGTTTGTTTGAGTCACGGGAGCTTGCAAATCCGCTTGTCTCTGCACAGCCTGCTGGTGATTCACAGCAGCATTGGGGGTTTGGGGTTCAAGGTTTCGGGGCTTAGCAATTAGGATGGGGGTTCCAGCGCTGCGTTTGCTGAACCCTCTTTCGGCGAAACTGATATATACTGTACTGCAGTACATGTCCCACAAGTGGGGAATTAAGTAGCCCTTATGATCCCTCAAAGAGCTATATAGGAAGATACTTGCATCAATGGTGGACGAATGCCTTCATTTGGGCGATGGAAGGTTAAAATTATGCAGTGATAACATGGACAATCTATATTTGATGATTGTAGGTGGAAATCCGCCAGATCAGGTCTTGCAATTGTATTTATCGCCACCCAAAGAAACTCCCCCACGGCCCCTTGCGCCGCGCGCAGAGAAAGGATAGCCACCTCCTCTTCCTCTCCTGGTGTTTCTTTCACCATTGGCAGATGACTGCCTTTTCCAGATTCATCGATCTGGTAACCACGCCTGTGCAGCAAATCCCACACGAAATCCTCTTGGCTCAGAAAGAAGGCACCATTTCTGTACCAAATCTGAAGCCCTAAGAACTTCAGGAAACCATCACCACAACCTGGACCACAGAACTCAGGTGCAGAAGTTTTCCACTCTTTCCTGATCTGTTCCAGTGCTTCCCGACTCACTGTCATAGTCCCGGCCAACAAAAAATCATCCACATAAAGACCCATAGTCCCCACCAGCTCGCTCACGCCTGTCAGCTTTTCCTGGGCAGCTATCAGAAACAAACTAGGGTCTGCATTGGACCTCTGAAAAACCATTGTTCGTCCATCTCCAGAAACCCAAGACATGCCTTGTAGACGCTGATCACGTCACTCTACCCTTTGTCACACCGACCCAACTTAACCGCCGCACGAGGAGGTTGGACGACCACCATGCGCCCCTCCCTTTGCGCTTTGTTCATTGGCGCAGTCAATAAGCCTTTGAGATATCAACTCCAGCTATAATCCACACCATTTCTGCAGCGCGTCGAACTTGACACCTAAAAGTTGTTGAGTCCAGACCTGGAGCATACAGCGAGTGACAGCTTAGAGAGACTTTGGTCCCTCATACTCAGTGGCCGCGTTGGAGGAAATAAAATTCCCACACGAAAAGATGCGAGCACGCCTTCTTCCAGTTCCTTGTTTTCTGGTAAAAACGACCAGACTGGGCACGTACTCAATCACCGGTGCGTTTGGCTGTTCTGCCAATAAATCCAATTTTTCCTGAGTGGTAGGCTCCACCACCTCCAACTCTTTTACTACAGACGCCACCTCACCAGACAATGGTTCCCGCCACTTCTCGAGCTCTTGCATTGCTTCCTGAGTTGGAATAGTTTTGGTTTGCAAAAACTCAGACTCTTCCGCCGCTTCAAGCGCTTTGTTTTCCTGCACCGCTCGCTGAACTTGCGCCGCCTTCCCCAGAAATTCCACAAGCTGTCCCTCAAGCTCGCCTTGAGCAGCCCTTCTGAGGTAACTAGCCCTTTTTCGCCTTTTTCCTCGCGCAGATCATTGTCTTTCCGACGGAACTCGTCTAGTAGGCAGTCCTCTTGCTCAGCAATCCTCAAAAATTTCAACGGGCGGACTCTCCCCCCGTTTGCGGAGCAAACGCAAGGAGCCCACACTTGCAAGCAGGACGAGGCAGGGCTTTTTGTGACTCGGCGGCGACGAGCAGGTGAACCACCAAGCCCGTGGTCCACCAGGTTCAGGGCTTGGAGGAGGTTCAGGCGGTGGTGGAAGTGGAGGATCCTGATCAGCCGCAGCGCTCAGAATCGGCTTTTTTCCCCGAACCCGTTGTGAAGGAGGCACAGGTTCTTGCTCCTCAACTACCCCATCCAGTTCCAGAACCGGAGCCTCCTTAAGCTTTGAGAAAAATGGCGGCGCACGGGAAGAAAACCTTCATCCGGATCTTTGGCAGTTCCATGAGTTTCAACCCAGTAACCTCCCGGTAGGTCATCGCACGGACCTAGAAGAAGTGCAGGTTGAGTTTCGTCCACCCATTGGCGACCTTTCTTTGCGCCATCCCGACCCAGTAGTTCCCAGGGACGCCGTTTAACATGTACCTGAGCCCCAAAGCCCCAAACGGAAGCAAAGCTTTCGGCGACAACCCAAGCTCCCTTTCAGCTTTGTGCCAACGCAACATGGCCCAATGGCGAGCAGCAAGCGCCCAGTACGACGGTCCCAGTCGCGCCTCTTTGAGTAGTGAACGAACACCACGTTTGACTAAGCCAACACATGACTCTGCACGCCTATCTGTTTGTGGCACGCAGTCCGGTAGATCAAACGAGCTTCACAGAAAGCTCTGAACTTCGCATTGAGAACTCCCCAGCTCTATCAGAATGGATCCGCAACACGGGGTAGCCTTGTCTTTGCAAGCGCACCAACATTCTCTGGACAGCAGAAAGAACCGTGGACTCTTGTTTATCCACGACAGGTTCCGCCATCACAAAATTCACCATGCGTACCGGTTGCGTCAAGTGATCTGTCAGCTCCTTCCAAGACTTTTCGGAGGCTTGAACTTTTGACACCTCTGCCTCAGGAACTGGTGCATCCTCCTCTTCGAAGTTAGCGGCTGCATCGCCCAACCGTTCTCCAACTCCAGCGCCAGCATCGGCCACTTGATCATCCACGGCAGCTTCTTCTTTTTCCTCCTCTGCAGGAGGGCGACCCACATTGGGATCCAACATTGGGAATTGGTAAACTCCAATCACGGCGTGTCTAGGCTTTTACCGTAGCCTCCCGCTCAGCACCTGTGACGTATTCGTCTAGCCAATCCAGGAGCCCACCGTGCCCATATTGAAGACTGGCCCATACGTTCTTCCAGCGTTGAAGCAAATGTTGCTGACCACGGAACGACCACCCGAACCTTTTCTGAAAGACTCCCACAGTTCGCCATCTGAAACCAGCAGCGTAGTAAGTTTGACCAGCGCGTGTCCATGTGCTCTGATCAAAGTGTGCGGCGCGCATTCCGTAACGCTCGCAGAATTGCTTAACTTCTGGCCAAGACCAAAAGTTTGGGTTTTATCCCGCACTTGAGGCACTCAAAACTACCACCTTTTGATTCTGAGAAAACTTTTTTCCTATGAGCTCAAGGTCTCCAGGACTTTCCTCGCCAAAGAATACAAAGCTGCCATTGATGACGCCAGTTCCACATTTTGCATGCACTGGAAGAGCATTTTCAGAAAGTAACATCCCATCCTTGTTGGATGTTTCTTGCCATGACCACGACAGACCATTAACACCAAAGCGTTCTGGACGGCAGCGTCGTCGAAGTTCCGTGGACCTCCGTCTTCACCCCTCAACCTTGACACTGCAGCTCCAGCACCTCCACGTCGCCGGGAAAATGCCATTTTTGTGAACCTGAAAACGATGAAGGACCACCTTTTTGGCCCGCCACCCGCTGTCTTTTGCGCCGTACAACTACTGCGACGGTTGCTGCCAACCATGACACCACGACACCACTACCACTCCCCGACCTGCAACACCACTCCTGAAAAATCCCGCGACACCAACAACAACCACTCCTTGAAAGCCCCCCTTGAAGCTCCCCTTTAAGCCTTCCTTTAAGCTC